TAGATGTAAGACTAGCATACGTATTAGTTTGCATTTTTACAATCTATATTTAACGCCAAACATAAGCCTGTCTTTGTTCTTCAACACCCTTATAATGTGATATAGATATTAATACTTATTAATATCGAATAATTATGATTTACTTTAATTATGATCATAATTTTATTTTTTCACAATTTGTAATTATTATTTAATAATTATCATTAATTATATCAAAGGCGCAGAATCGACTATATTTAGCGTTAAATATAGAGCAAAAATATATGCTGCAACGTGTTCTTTATCGTACATTATATATAATTAATAATTCCTAGATGTTATTACTGTATCTTGCTTGAATTGTAAGGTTGTGGATCTTTCCCTTTGCAAACACATAAATAGGACCTTCTTCCTCTTGCATCATTATTATACAAATAGTGATTTTTCGTCTACAGATCGACAAAAATAATAAAAATGAGGGACAAAATTCACTATAAAGTATCTAATAAAGAGATACATATACTATACCAATTAGAAGTTCATATCATCACGAGCAATACCGATGAGAGATTCGAGCTATCACTGCAATACACTGGCACGCAATATTAATTGTAAACAAAACGTTTGGATGTATACGGAAGCATACGGAATCATACAATTCATATTTACAAAATTAAATATAGTTTAATTAACATTAGGATAATAAGCGTATCGTTTACCTTTTTAGTACACGAGATAACATATTTCACGTCACACGTTGAAATAATCGAGATTTCTTGAACCATTTAAAGCAAGATATATACCGCCTATGTAGTAGTAATTCGCACGTAGATACACGTATAAAATCTTTTAAGAATGTGTGATATGTTCCGTGCGATATTCTGTGATCATAATGGCTGTTTTTCATCGATACACAATTATCAGAAGCTTGAATTAAAGTACGCATGTATCGGGTTGGCCAATAATTCCGTGCGATTTTTTATCTGTAAATGAAAGGCCGGGGCTCCGACAGCCCACACAGGTGACTGGCTAATAGAAAATTTTCTAATTGGTGGTTCAGCGAAAAGATTCTACGCAGAGTGAGTGGATGTGTGTTATCGCACCGTGCATTAACGGGACCTTCTCTAAATGAAAGACTTCCTCATAAAAAGGCGATAACTTTAATCAATGTGGCCGTTGATTCATTATCTTTTACTATCTTTCAGGCAGCTTCATGATTCCTCGCTCAAAGAACTTCCTGTTTACTCTATGCTGTATTTCTGCCTCTTGTAAGATAAAAAGCATATGCCGAGAATGCTCGTTTCAGTCATCCCTCTTTCAAATGATACCAAACACACAAAACACGACCAATCTTCGCGTTGTTTTTTTCTTTTCTCTAATGCACGTTGAAATGTCACCTGTCAATAACTATACGCTCTCAAGATTTCGACTGAGGATGAAGCTAGGCTGGAGCTATTTGTCGGCAAAAACCGCACGGAATTATTGGACAAATGCTATCTCTCGGTCTAATATGGCTACGTTCAACAAAATCACAATACACACGACAAAATTATATTTTAAACTAAATAATATCCTTCGGTGCGGTCGAGACGACGTCTTTGATTCGAATGTTTTGATGTGTGTCGCCGATCAGTTAGAAACGCGATCGCTGCCGATGCAAAAACGTTACCTATCCTTTGCAGTAACAGTATTTGCGCAGATGAAACAGCGAATTCTCCACGCATCTCGCTTGAGACCCGTACATGTTAATTCTGCTGATGTCAGAGATCTACAAGGACAACGTTATGAAATACGATGAAAGCACCGTTCATCATAAATCGTCGCTGTCGAGCACGCGCCTCGGTCTGCACTTACCTTCGTGTGGAAAGTATTGGTCGTCAGGTCGTGAGCAATGCTGACCTCGAACAACGCTTTGCCTGGTAAAGTTCTCACTTTTAATTGGTACACCTCTGTCGTCACTTTCGTTTTGGCACTGAAATCACCCACGAAGCCGTCTTGGTCTCCGGATTTCCGGAAATCTAGCAAACCTGAAATATATCACATTAAACGTCAGTCCCCTCGGCGAAATCAACCCCGATGGAAATATACTTAAAATCATCCCGCCGATCTGCCTAACCTAACCTTACATAACCTAACCTAACCAGCTTTTTAAGTTAAATTTCAGTTAAATTCGGCCAATTTCAACGGTACACTTTAACCTTCCTTATATTCGAGTATACCGATATACTATGAACTTGACGAACAATGAGATGAAAGTTACTGAAAAATTAGTGAGACACATAACAATAAATATTTCGAAATAAACCACAATTCCCATCGTGATATTCAATGTAATGCCGTGAAATATAATGAAAATTAAGGTGCGATTCTGCAAAGTGATGAGAAAAATTTCTCGAGATATTAGATATCGTGAAATTCACTGTATTGAAATTGAAAGCTGCGTGTATGAATAAAATTGGGTCGATTGAAAAAGTATTTCAGCAAAATATCTCTATCGGGAAGGAATCACAACGCGCCTCCTTCGCACGCCACGCCGCCCACCTTTGGTAGGTATGAGCTTGGCGGCCCATAGAATCTCGTCCAAACGTAATATCTCGCAAATGTCGCGATGATCCACGGTGTAATCGTTGAGAAATCGGACGAAATAATTGGCGGCAGCGCTAACAACCGTATCGTCGACCGAGATCTCTTGCCAGCCGAGACAAGCGCACCAATGGGGCTCTATGAACGCGTCCGCGCACGTTCTATCTGTAGGTATCTGAAACAGAGATCATACATGAATTTCATTATCAACAACGAGTGTCTCCTTGCATAATTATATTTACATCTTGGTTTTTACATCAGTACCGCGTGATACATCGGTCTCGATGTTTCGCTCGAGCAGCTTGCTCGAAGCTTGCTTATCGCCTGTGCCTCGGTACGGACAATTACTTTCAGGAAATAGTTGATTTAATGAGCGACCGTAGTAGGGATATCTCGATGACGCGTCGCTTATCAGCTTTCTTCAGTACACCGTGTGCAGAAGACGTGCTCTCATCGTTTTTGCTATTTTCACGACAAAATTCTCGATTGTGTCGGATTTTTTCCACTATTATTCAAGACGGGGTGAATGTAAGGGAAAGGGTAGCAGCGTGTCTCTCTCTGACGATTTCGCGCGCACAATCGTTCTCTTATCGGTTTTCGCGTAACGTTTTCATCATTGCGAGCGAAACACGTCCTAATTCATTTCGACGATCGCACACGCAGATGTATTTCACTACGATTTATCCAAAATGGTAATATTCTCACGTACTTGGGAAATATTTCCCGTAACCGTACCGGCGTCCGCTGTTCATTATTATCGTTTCTGCGATACGCCGCGACCTTAACCGAGACACGTGCTATCAAACGTTTCAAAGTGCTATTACGCGTTTTCGAGTACACGCGAGTTCATCCGAAACTTAATGGGTAGGTAGACATATCGTTGTGATAAGACTTAACATAATATATAATGATAGAGTAGCCACTCTTCGCATTTTCGGATCTTTTGGGTTTGTTTTCGTTCGAAATATTTACGTCGATTTTCCTCAAACGAACGGTCGAGGGACACCGATCATCTTCGCGTGGTAAAGTATTAAAACAGATGGGCTCTCCGCGAATTTCACGTATTTTCACCTTGTCGAATAAGCTGATAGCTCTTTGATGACGATCTCCATCCTTCGGTGTGCCGAAGTCAAGTATATTTTCCAATGTTCTGTGCACATCGAACGGTGACGTTAAGTACTGCGTGTTGTACACGAAATTCGCGTATGCCTGTGGATGGTCTTGTTTGAACCAAGGTGGAAAGATGAAAGAAAAGAACGGGAGCCTTTCCTCCTGCTTCCCTTGCAGAGTATTGCGAATCTCCGCGAATCTGTGAAATGAGAAAACGACACGATCAGTCCCGTGCCTGGAAGAAAGGAATTTCAACGTCCGCTTCTTTAGTTTTCAATCAGAGAAGTCGTAGGATGCGAAATCGTGAGTACTTCGAAAAAAACACGATGCACGCTGCGATAACAATTCATTGATATCTTACTAATTGAAGGACGAAATTTACGGCTGAACTCGAAGAATCCTTAGACTTCCAAATGCTTGCGAATTCTAAGAACCCTATGAGTAGAGGCTAAAGAAATAGATATTAATCCTTTTGTTCCAGGGTGCATCGTTAAATCAATAAACGTGCAAAACACGAGTATCATATCTATGAATGTAAAGACGTATTCAAACCTGTGTCCGTGGTCGCTCATCAAAATTAAAATGGTATTGTTCAAATGTCCAAAATCGTAAAGATCTTTCACCCAAAAATAGAGATCATCGTCCACCGCTCCGATATCATTGTAAGAATCGTGTGACAATTCTCCGTGAAATCCAAATACGAACTTTGGCTGTTTTTTATACGTATTGAAAATCGTTTTTATATAATTCATCATCACCTATGTAAATGCACAGATAATAATATAAAAAACATCACACGTGCACAAACGACACGTGTGTTTAAGATTGATAAAAATCGCACTTAAATCTCACAATTTCGTGAAACGATTATCGTCCTCGATGAAATTAAATTGCGTTCTGCGACCGAAAAAACTGCGGTTTCAAAATAATATCGTCACTTTCGAGCGATATTATTTTCAACCGACGCGAGTGACGTTATTTTCTTCATCTCGTGTTGCGAAGATAAACGATTTTCTCATTTCCAATACGTACCATATGACGCGGGGTGCCGGCTATGCAGAACTTCTTGTACGTTTTGAAGTACGGAGAAGCGGCTAAATAATACGTGCGCATATAGTGATGAGTCGGTTGCTCGTTAAAGCCCTTCAGGCGGTAGGTGAAAGTCCCGATATGCGGCACATCCTCCATAAAACCTGTTATGTAACCGTGCTCGTTATACTTGTTCCATATCATGGGGTAAACGTTAACGTAACTCGCTTTCTGGCCCATTCGCTTTCGCGTCTCCGGTAATTCAAGTTCGATCTTGCCGGTGAGAATCGGGATAAGCGCTTGCGGGGTGCCGTCACCCACGATGTTGTATCCTTCCAGCACCAGAGCATTCAACTGATGCTTTATGAAACGATAGGTCTTGGGAAGTTTACGAATAAACGTATTCCTGGATAGCGAATCGAAGCCGAACATGAGGACGTTCAGTTTCAAGCCGGTGCCCGGCACGTTGGCCCAGTTGTGATACTTTCTGACGCGTGGATCGTGTTTCACCCCAGCGAGCATACCCTGCCACCTAAATTCAAATGACCGTGTGTTAAATGACGGTGAACAACATGTACGTAGCTGCAACGCGTAAACAAATTAACTAACACATCCCCTTTCTTCGACTTGCATCGGACTTCGGCGAAGTCACTGTCTTTAAGTATGTAGAAATCGTCAGCCTCTATACCCTCCAGCAGTTTTGTATTATAATCGTCTGTTCTGACGATCTCTGAAACAATGATATAATACTTAACAGTGGTAACGATTAAGAGTGAATAATATCGAGTATTTCGGAGATATCGTTATAACCTACCACTGAAGATGCATGTGATTTGTCCATACTTGTTTCGCGCTTTATCGGTAATAACAAGTTTCGAACCTTCCACGGTGACCCAATCTTCCGATCCGCAAGACAAAGGTGGCACATCGTGTATAAATTTCATTATTTCCGGACTAGATACATTTAACTGAGGTAACTTGCAGGCAATAACACCTTCCCTGTACGGATGAAAGCATTTTATCGCACGGTGATACATAAATACAAGTAATGAGAGTGACAATAGTCTGTTAGATTATATACTTTGACTGTGTGTCTGTAGATTATAAACAATAATCTCGCAGAGCGATGGGTTTCAACATATTAATGGGAAGTATATTATTACTATGCCGTTTTTGATCAATACAAATAAATAAAACAAAAACATATTATACATACCCGGCATAAAGCTGTTCTGACTCTTTGATTGATTGTGATATGTGCATCCTGAAATGGACGAAATTTATGAAATATAAAATATGTCAATTTTGATGTTAGAAGAAGATATTGAAAGATCACTCACAACTTTTCTATGTTTGTAAGATCATCATTGAATCCCAGCTCTATTCTTATTACTTGAATGACACAAAATAACAACACTATTGACAATGCTGCTATGATGCAACGACGAAAATGACACGATGTGACCCTCATGTTTATTTAATTTGTTCCTGTATATGTAAATAACAAATGTATATACAAAGAACGAACACATACTATTGTAAGCTTAATATTAAGTGGCGTTTGATTGAGAATATGCGGATATATTTGCAGAGATTGAAAGAAAAAATATTTATATCCTGTGTTATTTGCACATAATAAATATCACATATCAAATATCACATAATGATTCGTTAAATTTATCATACAAGTTATACTAATCTTTCATTGCAAATTTTCATGTCACAAGTCGCTGTTAAAAATATGAATAATGCAATGCAAATTCTTTTGCTTTAGAATAGCGAAAGAAAGAAAATAGAAAAAGATATCTTAAATATCAAATTATATCAATATTTATCCCATTTATTGACTTTACTGACAGCAGTAAAGCACTCAGTGGAGTTAGTTCACTAATACAATGAAAGTCAACAAGTATATCTAAAGCTAGGAACATATTCCCACAGGCAATTGACAGTGTAGGGAACATGATACTGGTTTAAATACATGACAATTATACACAGACATGTACATGTATGTATGTATGATACACACACATCGTTTGTAAGTTATCACAGTTCGAATGATAATGATATAATACAAAGCTAGCACATAACGCAGCAACATCACAGATGTGATGGAAATATTTTTCTCGTGGTGATGTTAAATTATCATGCAAAGTGTTATCTGTGTTTGCACATTCCAAGTGTAACACGAAGGTTTTTATCAGAACGTTTTTTAATCCACGAAAGCAGGGAACACGACTCGTTTGAATAATCAACGGGAGTCTCTTAAACTTGATTCGAATGTTCGAATCGTTGCACGAGAAATCCTATAAAACCGAGGATACTGTATGCACACATAAGCAAGATACTAATTCGACACGGGAGGCACAAGATAGGAGGAAAACGAACCCAGTGTAAATATGGATCTGAGAGGCGAGTGGAACTGCGTGAATCCAAGTGAATTTCACTGGCTGGCACAAGAGTAAGAATTCCATTCTCCCGTCGCGTGAACCAATTAAAAATGATTGACTTACGACCGTTTGCGCACACATGCGAGCAACGCGCGTAAGCAACAACACATACGTACGTATTAGCCGAGAATGCAGGTTTCTCGGAACAATGCTACATCACACGTGGGCGAGATACGTTTGACAAGCGTGTCTCGATCGGTCCGTATTGGCTTGATCTCATAATTGCGAAAATTACCACAATATGCCGCGCAATGACGGGCACTTCACGTCACTGTCGGCTTCGTCCGAACGTGCTCAATGCCTGCGACGAGCGCGACGTTTCCTCGCGTCGTTGCCATTGAAAATCGAAGACATTTCACCCCGACGGCACGCCGAGAACCTGCTGGAGAACCACGCTCACGCACACACGCATCCGCACACGCGTGCATACCTGCGCGATTCGCTCGGCGTTCCCTCGCTCTCGCTTCTACACACGCTTTCTCACGCACACGAGCACGCGCGCGCTCCCACACCTCCCTCCTGTAACTCGACGTCAGAAGGATGCCATTGGATGCATGATTTATTGTTATGTAAATGCGTATGAACTTTATGACATTGCACATGAATTGATAATATGTATTTCTGCGATATTTTCGTCGTCATTCCTGGCTCGACACAGTCAGTAACCGTCAACGGTCTCTGTTTATCTCTCGAACGTAACTGCTAGTCGCGAATCTTATACGAAAACGGCGACGGTTTCAACGACGTTTAATTGGCGTGCAGATCGGGCCGCGGAGAATATATATCGTTTCATTGAAGGAGAAAGAAAGAATTGACGTAAACTTTTTCGCGATTTCACTCCAGAACGACTCCATTTCGAAGAAAGTCTTATCGTTTGTAGAATGTCTCTTTTGGAGAACGAAGGAATTTGGACTTAAGGAGGTCCTGGGGTCGTCCTGCTTTTAGCGAAATTTGTAATCTTCTTGAGTCTAATCAGCTTGGTGAGTACAAATTGTACTTTATTCTTTTATTACAATTGTAACAATGAGTCGAAATTTTGGTTTTACATTAAATCTATTCAGTTCTATATTAAATTATCAAACGAAGAAAACAAAAATAACTTCCTATATGTAACATCAGGACAAAGGAGCACTAATAGTACTTCTTTTATGGTACAAAGAGAATTTAGATCTTCCGCGAGGAAATTTTAAATTTTACATTAAATCTTCAAGTAGAGGAAACAGAAATAACTTTCCACTTGTAGCGCAAAGGAACGCAATAGAAGACCTTTGAAGATTTAATATAGAACTAAATAGATTTAATATTTATAGTACTAAAAAACTCAAACCTTATTGAATATAACCTTACTGGATATAAATGTTGTTACTGATTTTGGTAATATTTTGAAGTTTCAGTCACAAAGCTGCGATTTTCTCACATACCACTTAACCGAATGTGAAGGCAAAAAACTCACTTCACGTGTTCGTTTCGATCGGTTGATTCATAAATTAGCTAATATCGCGCTAGCGTTTGCACTGATTTGTTGGCTCTCTTGTTACCATAACAAATTACATTATCACTCGTACGTATCGCGAAATATTCCAAGGTAACGCATTGGATTCTAACACACATTTTTAGTCGAGTTTTGGCAAGGTTAATTGAAATAAGATATTTTAACGGACACAGAGAGAAGAGAGTCATTGTGTTAATGCGTTACATGTATGTAATTGGTAACACTCAGGATGGAGATGTCGAAAGGATAGAAAGAAATTCGCTTTGTCTAATATAAAATATATATTACAAATTATATAATTTATATACATTATACATTATACAAAGGAAGAGGAAAATTATAAAATATTACAATTGTCATTTGTTGTTCGATTTCTCGCGCTGTTTTTACAAACCTAGTTCCGCAAAATTGATTATCATAATTGAATATTCATAGAGTTCAAAGTGTATTCTTTATGCACGATTTCACGCAATACACGCTCCGCGTAACTGATTTTAAGTTGTGTAACATAGTTTTCCAAATATACTCGATTTCAATATGGATTAAATACTGTTATTTGAGAGGCAATTTGGAAGACAGCCAATAGCTTAGTAAGAGAACTCAAGAGGACATCAAAATAGTTGACACACTTAATAAGCATCGATAACGTAGATCCTCAAATGTTACAATACTATAAACACTGTCACGATCACGCGACTTTTTTTGTATTTTTTGTATAATCAATAATAAGAAGGTGCAAGACTTTTTTTTAATAAGTTTCGGAACACATCTCGTTTCCAATAGAATTTGCTTTTAGTAATTCTCAGGAGATACATTTTCCTATTGGGTACGAAATGCGTGGCGAAACTCATCGAGAAAATAATATTGCAATCTTTTCGTGATTGACTATACACGGAAAAAAATAATTTTGCTAGCTTCAACAAATTATTACTATAAGGGCAACAGGAAGATTTATCACGTGAAAAAAAATAATCTTGCTGTTGTAGCAAAACCGTTGTGATAGTGATGAAATTTACCTAGCGTAATCAAATTATTTTGCTGTCTACGTCTCCAGCAAATAACAAACTTACTCTTAGCAAATCTTGCTTCGGACAAATCTTTCTGATGTCCAAACTAATTTTTTTGCCGTAGTTCCTTACAGTAACTAACGAATTGAATACGATGAATGTGTGCGCTGTCTTACCATACTGGACCAACACGGATGCGCGTTATTTAATTAATTATTATTATACGAAAAAAATGTCAGTTCGTGTAATTAAATAAGCTAAAAACTAATCGGACTAAAATTTGTGTCGACGAAAAAATGATATTTTTGTTACCGTCGAAACGTGTAATCCAGCCGCGAGCGAAAGTCGCGAGCCGAAATCGCGAGCGGAAACTACGAGTGGAAGCAAGTAACGACTCATATCAAGGTTAAAATTTTGAAATAATCAATCAACATTGCGGAAAAACGATTAATCTTGGAACGATTAAACTTCTCATATGCTTTTTTTCAAGAGTAAATTTAGTGGAAAATCTAAACAAGATATATACAAATTTTTCTGTAAACTTTTCGTATCTTTTTGGGCCTCTAAATTTAATTGAAAAGGTACAAAAATGTTCTTCGAAATTTTCCCGATTAGAGCATATTTTTCACTGTGTAAAACTATTTATAATTCTGTGTAACCAATACGACGTGAACTTTGCAGAAAGAAGTCTATATTTTGCCAGCAAGTTTTCAAATATGGCATCCTCTCAACTTCTGCGAATTAATAAATAACAAGTTCTTTCATTGGGCATAAAATTGCGTTTCGAATTGTATCGAAAAAATTCTTTTCTGTTGTCCGTATAACATATCATGTGGGAAACTAGCACTTAAAATGTCTCTCAGTAATTCCGTAATTGTATGAATTCTCCCTGTGTGTGTGAGTGTGTGTATGAAGTTGATCACCAATCTGCCGGCCGAATTCCGAAATGAAACTCGGTCGAAATTTCCAAACAATAATACTTTCACCGTGTCATTCACTTTTCCGCAAGAACATGCAGCACTTCCATGGAAACACACGACGTTCCTGGCAACAATTGATTTGTTTCTTTTTTAAATTTCTAACAGAACAATACAGACGCACGCTAAGAGCTATTTTAGCGCAGTGAAAACAAACATGTGTACGGCAAATGTATGATTTATGCGCTCTTATCATATTAAGATAATTCCGATTTCTGCGTCATAAAATTTCTAGAGGGTGCTAAGAGGTCGGAGGTTGAAATTTCATTAAAATGAAGAAAATCACGTAAAAACAAATACGTACGATAAATCTACGATTTATGAGCTCTTATTCAGTCGACGCGAAAGCCAAAATTGCCGTAAAATTTTTGACGGAGAAAATGATGGTCAGAGATTAAAACTTCTTTTGCAAAATTATTATATTCGTATTGCCAACATCGAGATATATGACTTTATAAAAGTGAGATAAAGGTATGCCATTTTTATATTTTGTCGTCATTATATAAAATATCACGATCGTGAAAAAAGTTCAAGTAGACAACGTACAATTTCCGTCAAACACCTCATATACTTTATTACCTCGAAACATTTATTCCTACTGCTGTTGGTGCTTGCGGCAGGTTGTGGCTGTTCTTCATTTTTCCGAAGAATTTTCAACGGTCTGTAAGTATTGTATGTCAACAATAAATAATCAGGCATCAGGCAAACAACGATGACGAATAAGGTGATTAGCCAAAATGAGGGCGACATTAGTAAATTTTGGTAGACCCACAGCATGTCGCCATCGTATCTTCTGAAAAGACACAAGCGTGATCGCGTGAGAGAGAAAAAGAGAGAGAGAGAGAGAGACGGAGTGAAAAAAATTGATAATTGCGAATATCTTGCGTACGTTTGTAAATAAAATTTATTATCCCAATTAATTTTATCGTACAGAAGAAACTATATTAAAGATGCATTGCCCATAACTCAAAGTAATGAAAAAGTTACGAAAAAATTACAGACTAATCTACATTGCATTTAAAAGTGACATCTAAAATTTGATACACGGAAAAAGCAGTCTGGTTGGCCGACGCAAAAGTCGAATGATGCCAGCCAGATTTAACAGTAAAATATGGAACAACTAATTATGCGGTTGCTGCAATCACAGTAAAATTGTTGAGTGACTTGTGTTGCAGCAGTGACGAGTATCTGGTTATCTGGTTGCTCCAGATTTCCTTGATACTTCGACTACAAATGTTTTAACGGCAATTGCACCATTTGGTTGGCTTAGATAACATTTTTTGCAAATTCAAACATAAATTAAATTGTAACCACTTGCCGGTAACCGTGAGAGCTGTTTTCTTATTATACTTCCCACGTTTTTTTTTCGGGAATCATCCGCTTGAGTACACGATCGCTCTCGCTTCACTACGATGATCGAACGGCATGCGGTGAATCCAACGATATTTTTGTATTTACTCTGCGTAGCGAGTCACCTTTGTTTTCTAACATCGCTGCTTTGCATTACAGCCTTCCCAACTGAGTTCTGATTGCCATCATGCGCAACTACATTGATGTAGTTGACATACCAAAATAATAAGGCATACCAACCATTTCCGGTTTACGTGAACTATATCCTTTTTTCCATGTATGCGCATATTCGAACACTTACATCTCTTTTTTTTACCTATGCATCTCTGACAAGCTGATGCATAAATATCTCATTGATAAAAAAAAGTAATAATATTTTTGTATTTGCAATATTGTGTGCGTACGTGTCTACCCCAGCTCCGTTTTAAATTAGTACTTGTTATTTAGCTGATGAACACTTGTATAGGAACGTAATTTTGCGCGAGAAATACTAAATTTATAAGTACCCTTCTTGATGTGCCGAAAACACTATATTAACAGGCAATACATCCTTAATGGAGCCTTCTCTTCTTCAGGGTGTTGCATCACAACTCATTACGACGGATCTTATCGCGCGCGCCTCTGGACGGGCAACCCGTCGTAATCAGCTGTACGTTGACGCAACATCCTGTATATTTCGCGACCTCATGAAAACGCCCGCTTACCTTTGTACGAGCGAGTAGCAAAAGGAGAATAAGAAGAACAATAATTCGGACAGCACTACGCTCAGCACGAACCATATCGTCCAGTAGGAGCTACGTAGCAATATCTGAAACGGCACTTTCGTTGGGTAAAATCATTAAGACAAACTCGCCGATTCTCACGCTGATGATACGCACGTGTATATTTTCCACCAGGATGATTAAATGAAGAATAATCGTACTGTAAGTCCACTGTCCAACCGTTGTATTGTCGTATAAATACGCGGAATTGGTATAGGTCAAGTAGTAGACCACAAAATAAGTCACGCACGCGTGCCACAAGCCTGGAAGCAATAACGGCGACATTAAGTCACGATGTCCGTCGTTGACCGTCTCTTACCATTTACATCACGTCATTCTTATGAAGACTCATTAAAAGGTTCCTTCGCACCCAGAAACACCCATGTCACGAACTGTCCCTTCGTCATTAAATAATTCTTTCCATACAGTTTGTACAAGTACGGATACTGCATGAGCTGTTCCGCGTTGTAGTCCTGCTCCGATAATCCGTACATCACTACCGGAATCGACGTGAACAACACGTTGAAGCACATCAGATACATGCCGTCGTAAAGTTGCTACGACAGAAATCAATATCAAGTCGAGGATATGAGCCGGTAATATCAGCTTCTACCAGTTTCACCTTGCGAGAGGCGTTGATTCTCACCTGCGTGGAAAATCCGCTGTGCAGGCCGTACAATACCTGGGGCGTGATGAAGGCCAGATTTTTGTAGAAGAAATACTGCGTCAAGATACTGATGCGCAGGTAATACCAGTGACCGTGCACCAGTAATGCCTTTTTCAGGAACATAAATTTTGAGAACGCAAAATCGGCCGACATGGAAGCCTGGCGACCTTCCCTCCCCAATATCCCGATTCCCACGTGCGCCTCTTGTATCATCGACACGTCGTTACCACCGTCGCCGATAGCCGCGGTATGTGGGCGGCTTCGTGCGTTTTTTATCAGGCGCACAATCTGCAAATCAGGTAGGTTCGGTAAATTTGATCTGTCGTTTTCTATCTTCTTCGCATTCCTACAGACGGACTTTCACACGGGGAGGAATATATTTTATAGTGAAATATTACTAGAGAAATTTGCCACACCGACGAACATATCGACATTCTGCTTTAATTTATCCTTCACACGTGCTATGTAGATTTTAGAAATTTAGAGATAGATAAAGATTTACTATTGAAAAATTTAATATTAAATTTATTCAAATTTTTACCTACAATATTTTAAGTTTTAATATTCAATGTTTTTGTTCTTAAAAACGTAATTCAAATTCATTGGCAAGGTAAAATCTATTGACAGTTTATTTTGTACACTACTATGTACTGAGAGAAAAAATAACTAATGAATAAAAAAATATTTAATCGATGGATACTAATAACATATTCACAATTATATCAATATGCAATATACATATTTTTATATTGTAAAAGAATTTTTTTGAAATGAAGAAATATATATTTTTTCCAAATCGTAATTTCTTTTAAAAGCAATTGTTTATTCTGTTCGAATACAAGAATTTGGATTTAAGTAAATATAATATTAATGTCAACCGAATGCATATTGAATACAAATTTTTTCGATTTTTTTCCTCTCAGTGTAGAACACATGGCAAAATTGCAAAATATTTACATGAAGAGTGCTATATAATATTTTTTTCGTGCATAGAATCCTTATTTCAAGCAGAGTAAGCACACAAATATTTCCAGTCAAGGTTAACAGTTATAGTAGTATAGTATCCTTCGAATTGTATAAACAAACATGAGTGCCGATATCTTGACAACATTTATAAGCGGAATGCGTGCCGGGATACGAGCAAAGGAAACTCGAGAATCAGCTTTGTGAATGTTAAGAGTCTAATATATGTGAATATACAATGTAATGCTTTGCGTAAGTAGTGACTGCGCGTTATAAATATTGAAAGAATCACCATCGACATTGCGGGCTAGCCACGTGCGAAGTGAATTAGCGCAAAGTAACTGAGGTCCTCTTAGCATTTAGATTTCCCTTACTCTATCTAGCTTAAAACGCGCACTGAGAGAAAAATATAGTAGTTGTAACTGTATTTATAGTATATGTTTAGTATTTGTAACTATAATTTTACAATGGAAAGATTGCGCTCCAGTCAGAAGAACCATTTTCTAGTAAGTTATTGTAGAGTGTTAGTGATAATATATAACCTTATATGCATATTGTTGTTGTTACTTTTCTCTTATTAGAACAATAAGGAAATATTGTTGAATATTTATTGTAAATAACTATAATATTAGCGATATTAATCATTTTTATCTCACAGTGTACGAATGAAATACGTGGCCACAGTAATATTCCTTTCCTTCCATACCTCGCTCTTCTGCAAAGGCGTTAGCCTGCAACAAACGACCGCTTCGCAAGCCATTCCGACGGTTTTCAACAAATCCGGGCAATTTTGCAACGTCGTGGCCATGCTTGTACCATCTAGTAGCAATCCGTATTGCTTATGCGGATCCTGATTCACTTTCCGCCTATGCAATAGAAATTAGATGATACAATTAATAATTAAAATCAACAGCTCCCGAAAGAAGAAAGTACGACGACGAGTAGGCCGCGCTTACTCGAACGATGCCAGGGTCTCGAAGCACGACTGTTCCGTAGTCTTTCCCATCAGTCGCAAAACATCCGTGCCTTTTTTAAAATGACCACAGAGCAAAGCGATGTTCTCCGCAGTCTCTGCCTTATCTCCGGTAAGAACCCATACCTAAACGACACGTTCACGTAAATATGTTGACTATTACATCACCCATATCAGGGTGACTTGTACATGCCGTCATCCGTTTGTGGGTGACGAATCAAATAAATATCTTACTCGGATGATTTACTTGAAAAACATTTTACTTGGATCAATAGTTGACGGTTTTATTTGCCTAATTAGCAAGGATTTTATTAACTAAACTAAACTAAATTTTCTATCTGAATGAGTATCAAATAAAAAAGAGTAAAATAAAAAAATTAGTGAATAAAAAATTAATATTTAAATGGATAAAAAACAACTATCAAATAAAAAAAAAACAACAAAATAAAGCACTAAGAATTTATTCTCCTAAAAAAACTTATGCAATATATCCGAATTAACTCGTGGTTAAGAGTGACTTTCATCAAACTCCGATTAAATTAGTCGATGAATAACAATAATTGCCAACACCAATTTCCAGTTCTGCAATTTGTCATTCATCAATAATCGAAAAGTTGATAATTCCTGCCTGTGTTAACAAGACAGAGTAAATGATACTTGATCGATGGTAATTTTAAATTATCGATTAAATTAATCGGTGTTTGGCAAAAGCCAATCTAATTCGGTTAGTCGAGTCGTCGACTAGTCATCAGTACTAGATCATTTGTTTTTATTTTTACTAGGTAATTGGATTATTTGTTTTTATTTTTATAGGAAAATATGGAATAATTATTTTTATATTATTATTAATAGTTTTATTATATTTTGAATCAATGTGAAGTTTGGCAAAATTTGTATTATTAAATTTAATTATGTTTATGGTAATTTCAATACGAGGTATTTTACTTCGAATTCGTTATAATGAAATAATATATTTATGCTGAAAAATTATTTTACCCTGAATTTTAAATTATTTAATTTTTTTAATGATATTTAACAGAATATTTATAATATTTTAAATTAAGTTTATAGAAAGTATTCTCGACTTAGACTCGAGAGATTATCGTTTCTCCGAAATCTCCGGCTTCGTTTTAAAACTAACTTTAATTCCTGCGACTCGCAGACTCTCCAAGGTTTCCTGCACGTTGTCCTGCAGGCAATCCTCCACCGCGGTTACTCCGAGCAGGGTGAGTCCGCTCTCCATTCGATCATACGCGCGTGTTATGTGAGCTCGTCTCTCGTTACCGATCATCTGTCGGGCCTGTTCGACGTCTTCCAACAGTCGCTCGTACTCGAGCTGATCCATCTTCTTGTAGGCTATCACCAGCGTTCGTAGGCCTCTCTGAAAGTTGTGAGACTCTCGAAAGGTTCTACGACGTGAAATATCGCTCGGCACAGTGCGAGACTCATCCGATCATTTATCTAACAAAAGTATTCTAATCGGTTTTCATTACTCGAATTTGATTATTTGAATGTTAACTCTCGGCGTCATCATCAGAGTCCATTGGACTCGATTTCAGTTCTCGAGCTCCTCATTCGAGCGGTGTATTCTATTCGTAACGAATATTTCTCATTGTTTTACGATATTATCGATCTTGCTGGCGAGAGATAACGAACCATAGAGAAATCGGCAACATGAGTGGTCGCTTCTTGGACCCTCCCTTGAACGATCAACGGAAAAACGGCCGAGTCCGCACCCTTGCAGTACAACCAGATATCGCCATCTGCGTCCTTCACTATTACCGACATTCTCTTTCGTTCTGTTCAATATACACACACATACATGTATAATAAATAATTAATATTTCGATCGATTACGCCGTTGCCCGATCGCGACTCACGTACCAGAGTTGAACTCCAGTATCTCCAGTTTCTCGAAGACCAACACTTTTCCATGGATCTTGAGCTCCATCTCCTCGTTGGTGTCCTTGTTGAAAATGATGCCACACCTGGCGCTCGCCTCCACCAACGCTTTTTCGTCCGCCGATGCCGCCTGCCACATGTCGCACGTTTGTACATTCCATCATGCGGGCTCAATTACGCGCGTTCGACGGGAATCTCTAGCGTTTGCGCGCGAATGGATCTTCTATTTTTACCTGATACTCCGGCAAATCCGGATGCATCAACAGCGAGCTGTTGACTCTGGTGATTTTCTTCGACCGAAAACTCTCGCGGTATATTGTGCGCCTGGCCATTATCACTGGACGTTGACTCGGCGGCGCGATATGCACCACGTGGCACAACGAGATGCTTATCATGAAACGCCAAATTTCCGCCTGCAATTGCGCATTACGGCGAGATTAAATTATTTGTCACAGCAAAATAAAATAATGTCACGTAGCACTCAGCATTCCGATCCGGGCTGTCAATCTTCGATTATTTTGAAGCTTCGAAGCTTCGAAAGAAATCCGATCTTTCGAATTTTGGTAAGACGAAGCTTCGAAGGCTCGCTTTCTAAGGCCGTAATTTTCGAAGTCTCGAAGCTTCGAAGAGTACAATCTTGCGAATGCTAAGTAATATCTATACATATTTTACTCAGGGAATACTGAGAAATGTTGTAAGTGTAAATGAACTTACTTTTGTAAATGAATTGATATACCAGATATTACAGTTCGAGAGTCTTATAATTCCGATATTTTTGAAGCTTCGAATCTTCGGAAATTCGTAATTCAAATGTCAAAGTCTTTGAAAGAAAACACTAGCCCTGAAAGAAAACCCAGCACGCGTTCATATTTTGACGCAACGTTGATTTAAAAAATGCGTGCGCTACTCAGGTATCGTTCGTATCACATCAGAAAAATATCTCATCTATTGGCATTAATTGAAATCAATTCAAGAACACGCACACATATTTGTATATCATCTGTGTACATCTTGTGCTTATGTCATGTTAATCACGTAATTATCTTTAAAAATATATTAAGTTGGAGTTATAGTATGACAATCACATTGTGATAAAACGTGATCATCATGGGTACGCAGGATCTTTCATTCGTTCCTGGAAGTCTTACAAAATACAAAGAGAAAATTTACTTATCCGTTTTAGACAGAATAAATCAACTTAATTTAATTAATATACAACGATTTTCTTTGTTTTTGAGGTTCTAATCTTGAGGTTCTGTCTGTAAAAATTCATATTTCATGATTTTTATTTTTTCTCAGAAATCTCACAAAGAATGACGGGAAGTTTATTTATTTTTCTTACATAAAATAAATTGTTATTTAATTTAATTAATGCACCGAGTTGAATATCGAGAGATTTGCATAAGATGAAGGAAAAATAATTAAAATGGAATAATATAATCAAATTAAATAATAATGAAAACGAAGGGAAATAAGGCAGAACAATTTTGTTCATTGACGCGACATGCTGCAAATTTACCTGCCACGTCGCTATTTTCACAGCTTCTTCTTCGTTTCCATTCTGCGGTAGCAGGTAAAGACTTCCGTCGCAATCCTTCTCCATATATACATTCCCGTCGATCGAACAGCGCCTGAACACCATTAGATTTTCAGTGAGCGTGCCGGTCTTATCGGTAAATAAATACTCAATCTGGCCGAGCTCTTCACTTAAGTCTGATGTATTGGCGAGTGACGGTTGATCCTTGTCTCTGTCGTACATGTCTATGTCCCAGCCAAAATACAAGGAGCCGAGAAATTTCTGTAATTCTGAAGGAATCTTATCACGAATCTTATCGTCAGTGGGCATACGGTTGTGAAACTTTCAAATTATTGATTCAAGAAAAAGAGAAAAGAGCCGATGCGAGATTTCAATTATGAAACCCATGCAGTCGTGAGAATACGATAAAATAAAGAATAGAGCCGTGAAAATGAAATGAAGGAAAGAAATGAGTCCAAAAGTTCCTGCGAGAGATTTCTGCAAAACTTGCCCAAACGTTTCGATCATCATTCCGAGCCTCTTCAGTGAATAATAGAATTCAAAGCAATATCACATTAGAAATTGTTTACTCTTTTGAGACTTTTACCCTCATTTTCCTTTTTATTTTATTTTTATGTCTCTATCCCTTTTCCTTATTTTATTTTATTTTCACGATTGGGTTTAGCAACTGACATCTTGTATTGGCTATGATTAGCTATTTTCTTCTCGTTGATTGTATATAAGATAGCCTTAGTTTATTTTTAACTTTAGTTTATTTCTGAAATTATTGATTCTTCTTTTATTGCAAATATAAATCCTTCACAGATAACATCAGGACGTTCTAAAACGTCGTAAAGACGTCTTTTAGATAACAAAACGTCTAAAGGACGTTTTTAAAATGTCTTTTAGATATATGTATTGTTTTGGTTCTTACCGACAGTGACGTACAGTGATATCGGTACGATGTAATTGAATAAGATGGTAAAACTCAGGATATCCGTCAACAACTGACCAAAGTCGATTTTGTAATTCGAACCAAAATAAATGTCCCATGTCGCATGGGTTTCGACGTATAGCTTCAGCAAAGTTGACATCAACACTTCAATGCACAGTATTATGATAAACACGATAATATATTTATTGATAGATCTGCGGAGAATAAAGTACGACTAAGTGTTAATAAGTTCAAATAACAGTTTCGAGCATAGAAATATTTGTCAGACGATCGATGCGATTCGTAGAATTCTTCAAGATCGCGATACGAAGTAACAAAAATGCAAGTGAATCTAGCAAGAACAGAGTGAGGTTAATTGTATCTTTACATTTGGAAAAGATTGAAATAATTACTTTTCGACAGTCGAGAATTTATTGCTGACGATCTTTGAGTTGAGCGACAGCTTTGTGTCTTGTCCGGTGTAAATAGCACAGCCGATTACGTAGTCCGTGTCTTTCAATCGTGATCCACGAAGCATTATATTGTCTATCGTCAGGTGTCCGCTAGTTATCTCGTTGCCATTGTTAACTTCGAGCTTGCCGAAGAAGGTGTAGAGATCGGCCAGAGGATGCTGGCATGTGATCGTTGCTTCCGCACCCACTATTTCATCGCGTGCCATCTTGGAAACTACTCTTGGGATCTGCAATGTCTAGAAAGATAATCAAAAAATATTTAAGATGTAGGGTTACATAGGGTTAACACAATGAAAATTTTTGTATACTTTTTTGTGTACTTTAAACATGGAAAATATGTTAAAAAATACACAAATATATTAAATTAACATATTCACTTACTCAGAAACAATTTTTCCTTAGCAAAAGTATCAAAAGCGATCGTTATTTATAACTTTTTCCATATAACATAGCTAAGCCTTGAAGTAAAATTCTGTTAATGTATCCTTTAATTCGCGAAAAAGCTTACTTTGTATCTCGAAAACTGTTAATTTCTCAACGTTCTGTTGAGTAAAAATCAATTCTGAATCGTTCGGAGAACCTCCGAATAAAATTAAAGTCGCAAATTTTTGAACAACCTGCACATTATATATTTTCTCGAAGGAACTTTTTCTTCGGCTCACTTTCATACACGTCGTATTTTCACCGAAGAGATGAAAATAACCTACGTTATTACCAGTGTGAATTTTCAAAGAAAATAATTACCTTCAAGTTTGTTTCCCCATCGAGATTGGACGTCGTGACGTAACAACATCCCGGCGTTTCGCTGTAAAGAAGAACGATATCGCACGGCACGTCTTCATCTCGGGAGACTTTCACGAGATCTCCCACTAATATCTTCTCGCAATATATATCCTGCAAGTGTTAACATTAATTGGTCGCAAGTAATTGTCGCATGTTCCGCAAGAGATGATGCGTGTGGTTGCGAGAAATGCGACGCATTAGCGACTTAAGCGCGAACGATTTCGCGTTAACGACGTGCCGCACGCTACGAACCTGCAAACATTTATTGCGGATAACGGTGACCGACCTGCGATTATCTCGCTGGTCCATCTTGTAGCGCAGATAATCCTCGTATCCCTGCTTGCCCGCGGTTACGAGGATGACGAACGTTAAGGGCAAGGCGCTGGTCAACGGCGAAATGGGCGAATCGATCGAGAGCGCGACTATCAACGTCAGCAGGAAGTAAAAATTCGCTATCCGCCGGAATTGCTCGAATAGGTTCTTCGGCACGAAGTTCCATAGTGTATACTATATATTGCATAAACGTAAATATGCGATTTTAACATTTGTTACATTCTTCTTATATATTATTTTGATTCGTGTCTCTTAAAAAAAACATTGTATCTCCTGTAAATAAACAAATGAACGAATAAATTTGAACGAATAATAGCGCGACACACGGTGCTCCGTTAGTAACGAGAAATCATTCCGTCGTGATGCCGGCCGAATGCCATCCTACAAGTACAAATGAGTTTTCCTCTGTTGAGTCAACCGAAGAGCGCGCGATTAAGGGAATAATGCACAAAAGTACCTTATTCGATACGATCCGATTATTAACGAACGGCGTTTCCAATGGATTGTTTGTGGAATTTATTTTCACGACTCTGTGTTCACCTAACGCCGAAGTAGTGGTACCCTACGAAAAAAAAGATGCATTTACTTGCGCCGCAACGCGGCGAATGAAGATATCGGTGTGCGAAAGTGTTAAATAATTTGTAAAATGTTCGTGACAAATTTTATAATTTCTTTCTTGAACAAACGACTTCTAAAATAGGAGTTTTGAAATGCGTGTTAAATATATTAATTATATATTGTTAATATATTAAATAGATTAAATATATTAGATTAGGGCGTACAGAAGTGTGTGTATCGTGTTTGTCAACTGAATCAGTAGGCAAAATTATCGAATTTCGATGAATTAATCATTTTTACGAATAAAATGAACAACACAGACTCGATATCTTTTTAGACGTTCAACTTGTTATTCTTCTTTTAACATCCGAACTTCTTACGAAAATCTAATAAAAAAATGATAAACTAAATATATTGATTAAATTATACATGTGTATGGTATTTAATTAATATTTGAAATTTCATTTTATTCTCCCGCTTAGATTTATAATATTGTCCAGCAACGGCTCTTACAGGCCAATCTCTTTCTTTTACTTGGCTGTTGAAAATTTAATTAACACATTAAACGGGAAAATTTTACAATCGCAACCATGGCAAGAGAGAAAGAGAGACGTGAACTTCGCTCCAAATCTAGAATCGCCCGAGGTGATAAACAACCGAGAATCTAGCCAAATTTCTGACTAAATAATTACACGGACTTAATCATGATTGACAGACGCGATGACGGATAAGGTTGTAAAGTGAAAAAGAAAAAGAAAATTATCAGTTCGTTCGATCCGCCCGGCGGTCAGAATACCAAATTTTCAAAATTGCTCAGTCACTCAATTCTCGCATCGTTCCTCACGCGTTGCACCGTTTCTCGTATTCGTTTTTGGCGTAGTCGCTAATGAAACGATGTACTACGCAAGAATACAATTTCATCGGGACATTCAGCGCACCATGTCGCATTTAAATCGATTGTTCGTATGATATCTGCACTCCGATTTAAGAAAACTCACAAATGTAGCGTGGAACTTTTCTCCGCAGCGGCAGATTTTTTCGCGAGAATCGCGCGGCGCACCGCGAACACGATGCCGGCAGCGGCGATAAGAAGAACAACGTACTTAGCATGACCAACAGCCAGTATTTGGATTACATGTACAAGGCGTGGATGAAAGATCAAAGATCCGTGAGCTCCTCGTGGGACACGTATTTCAAATTGATCCACGCTAAGAGTTCCAAGGATCTTCGTGCCAAGCTCGGCTCGGTTCGTGCCGGTTCGCCTCCTAATTTAATCCCGTCGAATTTCCCGGAGAAAATGCAACTGGCCAGTAAGTTCATTCGTATAATCGTTCCTATGCGATCGACGTAGCTCGGTATTCAAATTCTTTTCGAACACGTATAATTCCGCGCGTTAATGGAATATATACCGAAAGAAAACAATATCTAAAAATATATATCTATATGGTGGGTATTAATGACGTATTTGTTTAAGGTAGTTGGCCCGTCAAATCATTTTCTTGCGGTGGAAATATTATCTACGTGTGTCTGTAAAGTTAGAAAATGATTGATTTCGAAACTAATAATTCAGTACTGGCCACTTCCTTAAAACATCCACAAAAGTTTTAACGCCAATTATAATATCAATTATATAGAAAAAATCCTACTGAGGGTTGAACCCGAAATCTCCATATAACATAATAATCAACATAATAATTGATATTATATATAACATAATAACCAACATAATAATTGATATTATTATTCATTGGTTATATAAATATATAAAACTGCCAACATTCCGTAAACAAAATCGATCCTTAGCTCTCGAATAATATTTGTTTACGTTTTACGATAATGTTTTATTTTTATATCATTAGTTTCAGACGTTTTTGGCACATATCTTGTTTTAGAAAAATTAATTTCAAGTGTAAATGCTTAAAATGCGTGAAAATGTGTAAAATGTATAAATAGAAAGTTGCAGTTTTAAGAAAATATATATTTTCTCACTTGAAACGAATCTTTTCCTAGTGAAGAAATATGTGTGTTAGTATAAATAAATATCTTATTAATACCCACCGCAGAAATATTTTATTTTTTAGAAATTTGTCCCTAGTATATAGCTCATGAATCGCCAAGATAAATTGAATATCGATTAATTTCGTATTTTGAAACTGACTGATGCTTCACAGAGCTGCGGTATCCGAAAGAACCCATTCGATCCAAGTCGGATAGTCCAATGCAAGGGGATCAGTTCATAAACGGCGTACTCGATATCAATGCCACGATCCGAGCTTATCAAGTATATTTCATACAAATGTTACGGATAATCTTAGTTACGGATTATCTTAGTCTTCCGTTTCCGACGACGATATCGATATCTTCGATATCTTCGAACTGAGATTACGGTAGGGAACGGCTGAACTATGGTTCGCTCAGCGAATAAAATTGAAAGCGAACACTTAAATCTCGCAATGAGAAAATTCCTTTAATTGTTTGGCTCGAAACTTTGCTTTTTCACTGATCCTTCAAATGCGACTAAATTTGCGAGATTAATGTATAGTTCACATTTTGAGTCGGGTTGCTGCATAGAGTCAAGAAAATCATTACAATTGTATCAGTAAACATCGAGTAACAGTAATTTATATCAAAGTTATAATTTGCTACTCAACAATATAACTTTTATACACAACACGTATTACATGGAGCTTCGTTGTTGAATGAGAAATTATAACACTGATGTCGTGTTATTGTCACTTGATTACTCAGTACCTGTGTTTACTTGGAGGTATCACAGTATCAGCTAGAAGATCCATCGATTTCCAATGTTTCTCTTCATCCGTCGAAAAAATTTGAGCTGATACTTTTTTGAAGTGGAACTTCGCTCAAGGAGTAAAGTGATAACTAAGTCATTCGAATGATTTTTCACTCATAAAGTGAATTCTCTATTCCAAATCATGAAATGAATATTTTTACTCAAAATTGAAGAGTAATCTGATATATTCCACTATCATAAGAACAAATTCACTCTAATTGATTAAAGCATTCACTCGTATGGACTCAGAATCCATTTTAAACTTGAATGAGACATTCACTCTTACGACTTCAATATTTTCACTCGTTTTTAGTGAGATCTCGTCTCGGGAAATTTAAAGAATAAGTTACCGTCGACCGGCAACAAGCTAGAGGAGACTCAAATGTCAAAGATATTTTGTGCATACTGTGAGAAAAAATATCTAAAAAGAGGAAAAATATGTTTTCTGTGGCATAATATCATATATGCTTAAATCCAAATCTTTGCATTTAAATAGAATATACATTTACCTTCATAAAAAGTTACAGACTTAATGAAACGTGTATTTTTTCACTAGATGAAATTTCCTCCTGTGTAAAAATATGTATATCGGTATAAATCAATGTGTTAGCAGTACCTACTGAATAAATATTTTTTTTATTCTTTAGGTAATTTTTCTCTCAATGTGAAGACAGACTGACGGACTTTTGTTTGTTCAAGGCACGCGGACACTTGATAGCCGATACCGATCCGTTGGGCATACAGAACCCAGAGTCGGCGAAGCTGCAGGGTACCCCGAATTTGCCGCCTGAGATTGTCGTGCGACAACACCTGAAAGGTATGACGGAAGCGGATATGAACCGGGAATTCCCGCTCGCGTCCTTCACGGTTATCGGCGGCAAGAAGAGGAGCCTGCCTTTGCGAGAGATACTGACCAGATTGAACAAAGTCTACTGCGGTCACCTCGGCCTTGAATACACGTACATCCACGACCTGAACGTGGTATGCGCGTTTTCTCACTTTCCTCCTTCGATTTTCACGTGTAGATTTTCGTAGGCGAGACTTTTTCAGCGAGAACGGAAGCGCTTTCTTACGGTAGATCGTACTTGAGCGCAACTATAGCGGCAGTTCGCGACGATATAAACAATAAACGAAGCAGATAAATCCCAATCGATGCATGCAGATTAGATTGCGAGATAACACGTGTCTGATCACTCGAGCAGACGCGAAGTTGTGTTACCGAAGCGACGAGCGAAGAGCTCGTGTTTAAAAACCCGAGTTTCTCTTCGCTGGCGGTTATCGATAACTAATGGAATAGACGACATAGGTGCTATTGATCGGTCCGTGAGACTCGGGAGGCACCAAGTTATCTTGTTTAATTCGCTCCTCGTATCTTATCGTCCTGTTCTGTCTTATCTCGCAGACAAAAAGTTTATTAATTCATTGAAATGATTTTTCTCCGAAGTGTCAGAAAATGAATGATAATTAGCTCGAGGAAGATACGAGGTGACGTGAATTTGATTAGAATTTCGTGAAACTCGTGTTACGTATACATTGTAATATCATATAACCGATCCGGTAATTAAAAGAAGATTGACCATCTCCGTGAGGTACGTGTCGAACGTGTTCTTTATCAGTTAGACTGGTTGAGGGACAAGTTTGAGGTACCAGGCGCTTGGGAATTACCGGCGGAACACCGGAAGTACACCTGGATGAATATTATGAGGGCTGTGAGTTTCGAAAACTTCCTCGCGAAAAAGTACGGGACGGAGAAGAGATTCGGACTGGAGGGTAGCGAGTCGTTTATATCGGCCACTGCGGAATGCATTGAGACGTCCGCGGAAAATGGTAAACGATAACGAATGATACTCCCCAAGTCGAGATTTTGCCTCTGTATTAACCGTGCAAATTTTGTCGCACTTGGAGGACCGATGGAGAATCGCGAGATACAATGTTATACGGATTATTGATTTATCCCTAAATGATGACTTATCGCTGCTTCTTCTTCATGTTGTGACGATAGAGTGTATCGTGCTCATTCCGGGAGACCAGTTTTTAATCTATTGTGTCGAGATTCTTGGAATAAGTCGGTTGAACCGAGATGAAGTAAACTTTGGCTGTTACAGATGGCTCCATATCCATAATATTTGTTATTTCATCTGTTTTTCTTGCGCGCGCGATCACGAACGCGTCGTGTTTCGTTCAGTTTGGCGATAATTAAATAAATGTCATTGTTTTGAAATGAAACGCGAGGCAGAAGGTGAGAAAAAATTTAGTCGGAAAAGAAGACTTTCCGAAAATCAGCAAATTTTCTGTCTTCGTAATTCTTTTCTTTTCTGGCATTGGGAATTTCTGTAAAATTGGAATATTCAAATGGGTCAAAGAAGAAGAATTGTAAGACGAATAGAGAACAACTGTGTGTTCAATATTGCTGCGTATTAATTGAGATTTACATTTTCATTTGGTACAATAACGAATTTTAAATAAGAGTGAACAAAGTTATCTATTGGCAAATGGTCAACAAAATGTAATTTGCGACTTGGAAAATATCATTACATACAAATCATCGCTTTATGGACCGTGACTTGGCTGGTGTGGATCGATATTTTTTGTTGCATGTAATAAATACAGATGTAGATTCACGGAATAATTGGAGATTTATGATTTGTTAAATCATGATAAGCTACAAATGTCGGCTTAAATGTTGATTCAGATTGAGCCTTAAATCGAAATATCGACGTGTGAAGAGTTTATCAATAATAATTCCGAGCTCATTTATCTTCCTCAGTTATTAATTAACCGATTACATTGTTTTTAAGTCACATACAATTCTGGGATCAAGTTTTCTTCAGCGAACTTTATCTGAAGATAATCTTCTTTCGTAATTTTTAATATTAAATGTCTATTAATGATAACTAATGATAAGGCTCTCGAAGATTAAAGTTGACAGAGAAATTTTTCGCGAAAAAACGATGTCTCGTTGAATTTTTATGGATAATATGTTTGTCAGGAGTGCAAACTGTAGTTATTGGCATGGCGCATCGCGGTCGTCTGAATACCTTGGTGAACATATGCTCGAAACCGATGGCTCAATTATTCACTCAGTTCAATCCGATTGCTTTGGAAGGATTCGGTTCGGGTGACGTGAAGTATCATCTCGGGACGCATTCGGAAAAGCTTTTGGAGAGGTGACGGATATTCCTCAATATTAAAATTCTCATACTACTCGACATCTAATTGTAATTTCTATCTTACGTTTAAAACGAAATTGCGTATACTGAATAGGAATGGAGAGAGAAAGACTTAAAGAGGAAGAGAAGAGATGTCGGTATTTCTTGTGCTTGATTTATTTACAACGCTTATGAAATAACAAATATTATGCGTTTATTTGTGGTTTTCAGGACTAAGAAAAAAGTGCTTCTTTCTGTAATGGCAAATAGTTCTCATTTGGAATCGATCGACCCAGTCATAGTCGGTCGCGTTCGCGCCGAACAAGTCGAGAAAGGCGACTCTAAACGTACGTATCCGCGCGGATTTGTGAATATGTAACCTTCGGAAAGAACAAAAAGTCGCGATTTATTCAAAATGATGTCAAAATAACGAGAAAATAATCAAATCATGATCAAAAAGCAAGTTTTCATAGCCATTTTCTTTTTATTTTGTCGTCATTATGATTTTCTGTCCTGTTTGGGTCTCTTCTCGTAACAGATAATAATTTGTTAATATAATGGATTATTATTATTGTAGTTTTCATGTAAAATTGCTTCTTCAGATGGCAAAAAATCATTGGCGGTGTTGGTTCACGGTGATGCTGCCTTTTCCGGTCAAGGTGTCGTTTACGAAACGATGCATCTCACTAATCTTCCGGAGTACACGACCGGCGGCGTTATACATCTCGTGATTAATAATCAAGTAAAAATCAAATCGTTTTTTAAATTTAAATTGAAAACAAAGCGAGACCGACAATCGTTAATATCGTTAAAAGTATATCGTCAACACGTCGACTGCCATGTTGATTTCTAATGATTATTTCAATATAATAAATAATTTTGTGTTGAATTCAACATATTTCGCTTGTCCCAAACGGTCTAATTTAACTTTAATATTAATATTGACATAATGCGAATATATCAAACAATGACACAAATATCATGTTCATAATTAACATAAAATTCGTAACAATTTGATAATATTTGAGTGGAAGAAAATTTTACGTAAAATTGACATATTTATAATATCAAAGGTAATTCAAGTAAAATATTAGTTTCATGTTTTTCTGAAAGAAGCTACGCTGAAAGAAGGACTTGGTAATTGCTATTAAATATATGGATTATATAGTGCAGGCCAAACGTCTAGTGACGAGTTTTACGAAATAATTTGATTAGATAATGTAAATATGTAGTATTGATTAGATAATGTAAATATGTAGTTCCAAGAACAAAGATTTAGTTACTTGAACTATATATCTATGTCATCGAATTGAACTTTAGATATTGAACTTTAGATATTAATACCATAAGGTTTGTTTCTAGATGAAAAAGAATTTTATATCCCAAATAAATTTCCAAGTATTTTTTTCTCAGTGTATATCTGTGATATTTAAAATATGAATTATGTTATTATTCAGCGTATGACGACTGTTCCGAGAGGGAAATTAAAGAAATATTTATTCAATGATCAAATCACAGCCGTTTATAAAAAAATTTTATAACGCACACACATACAGGTATCCACAGGTATCCACAGGTTGACCTCCATGGCAGTCAATGTGCTAATTCGAACGTTTTAATTTAAACGACTACTGACCAATCCTTCATTTCATCTTATCACCAATGCCGTACCTTTCATTATCATGAACAAAAGCCATAATATTTAATATCGATAAAACCGATCTTTAGTACACAATCGATATCGTTATATTCGTACGCGCGTATCTAATCAGTCTTGTTCTAATATTAAGTCGCATGAAATGTAATTGACGTAATATTCACGGGATGGTTCCATTTAAACATTTGTCTCTGTCAATGACTTTAGATTGGCTTCACAACCGATCCGAGGTATTCACGATCTAGCGCACATTGTACAGATGTGGCGCGTGTCGTTAACGCTCCCATATTTCACGTGCACGCTGACGATCCCGATTTAGCGACTTACTGCAGCAAAGTAGCCGGCGAGTATCGGTAAATTGCGATCAAGATAAAAGATCGAGATAACTCAACGTCGTACAACATTCAGCCCTCATAATCTTGACCGGTTCTTCCCGGTCGATTCGTATCAATTTTATCTTCAATTATCTGGAATTCGGCATTAATATCGAGAGGCCTTCACAACTTAAGTTTAGCAGATGTTAAAAAACAGATAAGACTCTTCCTAGAATGAATTTCAAGCGCCGTCTCTTCTTTTGGAATCTAATCTGCTTTCCACGGATAAAGAAGATTAGCTTCATTAACTAAATTAGTTATAACATACGGACACCTAAAACTTTAGCAGCGTAAACAATGTTAATTGTTGCAATAGAAGAGTTTTCTACTGCAGTAATTAAAATTGTGCTTGCTGTTAAAATTGTTCATATGTTACAATGAATTTAGTTGCCGGAGCCAATTCTTTTTCCGTGCTTGTACAAAATTAGCTGCAATAATAATTGGTTACGTTAATGACGGAAAAATAAATATACATAATAAGTAGATAATAAATAATTATACGTAATATTATCTCATACAAAAAAAAAAGTTATCTTTCACACGATGTGTCAGGGCCACCTATCACAACGACGTAGTGGTGGACATCGTTGGGTATCGGCGAAACGGTCATAACGAGATGGACGAGCCGATGCTAACTCAACCACTCATGTACAAACGTATCAAGAATCACCCCAGCGTTCTCTCTATATACAGTAACAAGCTTATCAAAGAGGGTGTGATAACGGAGGCTTTCGCGAAAGAGGTTGATATGAGATCCTGATAGCGAAACTGAAACTACTATTCAGACTCCCCTCCGCGACTTCGTGGCATCCGAGAACTCATTGTCGTCTTCGATCATGCAGGAAATAAGCAAATACTTGCATCACTGCGAGGAAGAGTTCAAGAAAGCGCAGACCATCAGCTCCATGCAGATGTCCGACTGGCATGATATACCCTGGACCGATTTCTTCTCGAATCAAAGCCCGAAGAATGATATACCGCCGACCGGCATCGACATGGCGACCATCAAAACGACATGCAAGGCTATATCGACTCCTCCTAAAGATATCGAGGCGCACGTCCAAGTTAGTCGCAAAGACCACGAATATTATAGGACTGGAGAGCTTTCGCTGAGTTCTGCGGCACAAATGACTTCCTCGTTATTCTCAGGCTGAGAATCCTCAGGCTGAGAGAGAGAGAGAGAGAGAGGGAGAGAGAATTACGTCAAAGTAATTCAGGTTATCACTTCTCTAATCCTTTAAGCGCTGGATTTTTTTAATTTGTTGAAACTTAAGCTTACTCGCATCTGACCCAGTGACTGATAAATGTCAACAAACACACTTAGTTGCTTATATGCATATGGTGTCCTTTGAAAATTTTTTAAAATCTTTGAAATCATCCATTTGGCACTCTTTTATACCTATCGAAGTTTTTTAAGTCAGCATCCATATGGTGTCTTCTACTTCTGGTGTCTTTTTTGAAATCTTAAAAATTTTTTTGAAATCATCCATGCGGCACCTTTTGAAATGTCTCAAGGTGTGGTGTTTTTCAAAGCGTTAATATGAAGAAATTCCAACATCATATTGTCTACACTTGTACTCAGTGTGGCACAATTCTCCAGACGACGAGAGCGGCGCTTAAAGGGTTAACGCGTTGAATTAACGCGCGAGTTCAAACAGATCCCAATTCTTGGTGCGTTAAGTTAACGATATCTTGTTGTTTCCTACACGATATTCTTCCTGTGACGTTTCATAAAATCATCCTTAATGAGTCACAAACAAAACTGTCAGCTATGAATGCTCAGCTCTTGCGGAAACTCATGCGTCACTCAAATACGGGTGAGGCAGCGCTCAATGTGTAAGTCATTGACGCATTGTTCGACAGGTGTTGAGAGCGATGGACAGGCGTGGGAAATTGATGGAGGCCCGACAGGTCGACTGGGCGATGGCGGAGTGCCTGGCGTATCTTAGCTTAGTGAAAGAGGGCCATCACGTGAGACTGTCCGGGCAGGACGTCGAGCGGGGTACGTTTACCCAACGGATTCACATCATTCACGATCAAAGCAGGGACAAGACCTATAAAAATATCCTGCACGGCGTTTTCCCGGGCCAAGCTCTGTACACCGTCTCGAATTCCTCGCTGTCGGAGTACGGTGTTTGTGGTGAGTTTGCGCTGGAAAGTGAACGCGCCAGCATAATCTGCTCGTGCGGAAAACTAATCATCAGAAGGAGCTAAAGTTTTCTTTGAAATAAGGACAGCCAACGTGGCGTTGCTATATCGAGAGAAGAAAGATCAAAATAAATGAAAAATATTTCTCCTCGGTGCAGGCTAATAACATATTTATTTATATTAATACGTATATTTTTACACTGAGAAGATCTTCTTGTTAAAATATAAAAAATATGTTTCCTTCCTTCTTTGTTTATTCTATTTAAATAAAAAGAATTCAGATTTAGTATATGTTATTAGTATCTACTGAATGAATATTTCCGATCTTTTACATTTTTTCTTCTCAACATACCAAGTTCAAGTTTATTAGCTGTCTCAACTTAAGAGCAACGAGGATACATACTGCCAGAAATCAAAATAACGTTCAATTGAATCCATAATGATATAATTTTATTATTTTTCGCATATTTTTTTATTGAATTCTGTTCTGAGGAAGAATTATTTTTTATTTTCGTTCGAAGATCGGCACAAACTTCGGCAATGTTAAACGAACGGTTATTACCAACATGATTTAGTAGCCATCGGAACAGCTGATTTAAATGAAGTTTATATTATTGAGCAAAAATTCGCACCAACTAATATTTTCCGAATTACCGGCGTGGAAAGGGTTCGAGTTGGGTTACTCGGCATACAATCACAATACTCTGACGATCTGGGAGGCGCAGTTCGGCGACTTCTGTAACACCTGTCAGGTAATTTCGCTCGTATCTATTCGCTCACTTTTATCGTGTTTCTTCCCGGCGAAGATTCGGCAGGCTCGCTTACGACCCCCACGACTCTTCTCGCAAACTCGCTTCGTGAATACTTTTTTATCGTAGGTCGTATTGGACTGCATGCTATGCTCCGGGCAGTCGAAATGGGGCAGGCAAGTGGGACTGGTACTATTGTTGCCGCATGGCCATGAAGGTCAAGGCCCGGAGCACACGTCGGCCAGGTTGGAGAGATTTCTTCAGCTATGCGATGACGACTGTACTCACCTACCCGGCGGGGAGCCTGGCGAAACTATCGAGCGGATCATGACCAGGCAACTGTTTGATATAAACTGGATTGTCTGCAATCCTTCGACACCCGCCAACGTCTTCCATCTTCTGCGCCGGCAGATGAAGATGCCGTTCCGGAAACCGCTGGTTCGTCGAGGCCTGAACATGTTTATCATGCCCACCCTCGAAATTCCTCTCACTTTTACTCAAAACGACTCACTCAAAACTATCATCGCACGAATAAATTCATCCTGCAAAATATTTCACGTATATTTTTAAAATATTTTTAAAATCTTGTACGTTTGGGTTTCTATCTACGGCTTTATGTCCTTGAATTAATCTGTAAAAGCTATCGCGTTTTATTCCTACTGATTTTTGTCATTTATATATATATATATATATATATATATATATATATATATATATATATGTAGGCCATTATGAGCCCCAAATCATTACTGCGCCACGCAATGGCGGTGTCGGACTTTGAAGAGATGGTATCGGGCACGAGCTTCAAGCACGTTCTACCTGATCCTTACGTGCAGCCCGGCAATGTGAAGAAAGTCTTGCTCTGTTCCGGGAAAGTGTATTACGATGTAGTCATCGAGAGAAAAGAACAACATTTGGAGGATAAGATAGCCATTATCAGGGTCGAGCAATTGTGTCCTTTCCCTTATCACCTACTGGCGAAGGAAGTTGCGAAATATCCGAAAGCCACAGTGAGAATTTTCTCTGATTTATTAATAATCTAACGACCGCTCTTTTCGGAATTAAGAAATTGGCGCGAGCGATGAAGCGTAAAGAAGGGACGTGAGAATAATATCCTAAGTCCTCCGTGTGAGATTAATCGTACAAGTCGTTGTTTTTACGTACAGATAATGTGGCTGCAAGAGGATCATAAGAATCAAGGCGCTTATTATTATGTGAGAGACAGAATAGCCTTAGCATTGGGAATCCCGTTGGAAAGTGTGAAGTACGCCGGCCGGCCCACCTCGGCCGCGCCGGCAACTGGCAGCAAGATCATTTATAAAAACGAATACGAGGAAATGCTCGCAATGGCGTTGAGTCTCAATTAATCTGGCCGTTTTACTTCGACGGGAGCGCCGCTCGGCTTCCTACCTTCCTAAATTCCTTCGAGTGAGAAAATCTCATTTGGAACGAGGGAAAATTGCTCGAAGCGATAGCGAAGATACTGCCACTCGGAGTCGTAAGAGTAAACATTTCATTCAAGCTTAGACTGAATTCTTATTCCGTATAAGTGAACGTCGATTAGAGTGAAATTGTTTCGGTGACAATGAAGTAGGCTCCCATACAACGTAACGTTTAAAATCGGGGCATAAGATGCCTTAAAGACATTTTCCAGACTATCTTATGACGTCTGAAACCCGATTTTAGACGTTATGTTGTCGGGGGTTAGATTCACTCTTCGATTTTCGAGTAATGTCCATCCGACGATTCAGAATGGAGAATTCACTCTTTCTGAATAAAAAATCGCTCGAATTCCAATGACTCGCCTATCGCTTTATTTTTGGGGCGGAATTTCCGACCAAAAAATTTAGAGACGAGTGCGATAGAAAAAAATACTATTTTATCGATAGAACTGGCCAAAAGGCGCATAATTGGAGTAAATTTTTCCGATTCAATATAAAGCAAAAAAATATTATGCATATTTATATATTGTACATTGTTTTAATAAATCGAGTGTTAGTTTCAATAATATCGCTGTTGAATCAAACAGTTTTCTTTTCCCCCGATTATGACGCTGTCAGTCAGTCTTAATGACAACAACTTTTCTTCGTTTAGAGACGTGGCTCGGAAAAACGACGACGTGTCATCAGAAAATAATAACGAGACGCGAGTAGTTATCGGGAAGCATACGATTGTATTTCGCGCGGCCAATTTCGCAACCAATTAAATCAGTGAATTTTCTCGCGATATGCGCTTCACTCACCACTAGACAAAAGTAATCGACGTGTTCATGACTTGAAAATGGCGTCACTCTTCTCTTCATATGAATCCACATCGTGTTCTTATTTTCATCGCGCTCACCGGCAGATTTTCTGAGCACGCGGTCGAACGAGAACGCTCACGACGCTCGCGCATCGTGGAACTAAAAAGCTAAACGTCGATCAAGTTGGCAGGTGCTAATAATCGTCGTTGCCTATACACGCAGGGAGAATTTGCACCTCCGACAAAGGTCGCGATTGTTAACCGCGGCTTCGACTTGACTTCCGTATCTCTCGCTTCGGCACCTGTCAGTTTCGCTTGACGATCTCGATTCACGGCGACATCGGCATGTTACTCTTCAAATTTCTTCGAGTCGAAGCTCACCGGAAACGAGTGAAGAATGACGATATTTTCACTCGAAGCGAAAACGCTACCACTCGAAATCGCAAAGAGAGAATGTTCACTCGAGCTTAAAGTGGATTCTGATTCCATAGAGCGAACGTTTCAATCGATTAGAGTGAACTTGTTCCCGTGATACTGGAATACGTCAGATTCACTCTTCAGATTTGTGTGAAAATATTCAGAGTGGAGAATTCGTTCTATGTGAGTGAAAACTTATTCGAAAACTCGAGTGGTTCGGCTGTTACTCTACTTTCCGACTGAAATTCCGTTCCAAGAAATTTGGAGAGCGTTACACGTTTGAGATATTTCTTCTTCTGAGAGTTACTAAAGTCTACGAGAGTAAGTCTTTCGCGATCTCGCGATCTGTGTATCGTAAATCGAACTGGAAGTTTGCAAAAAATGGCAAGATTTTACAATGGACAAATATCTAGGTGATAAGGTGAAATGCATTTGCCAAAATGAGACGTTACGTTAGAACTTCAATAATCGTTCGGACACTGGCCGAACAGAATTGAAGCGTGGAAGCCGAGTCCGAATCCGAATCCAAGTTTGTAGTGATTTTGATCCCTCTCGAAAATTTGGCAATTAATGAATTAATATTTTTTTTATAGCAATTTAACGACTTAACTCTACCGTGTTTAGTGGTGCATATATGTCCCAGCAGGTTTAAAAAACTATATTTCTGGTAAATATCAAACCATTAAAGTCAACTAGAGCTTGTTTTAAAGGGAATTGTTTAAACTTTAGCTGAATAATATTGTGATAAATATAATAAAAATATAAAAAGTTATTTATATAGTGCTGTCGGAAAGTTCTCAAACTAACCATGAAAAGTTCGATATGATGCGAAGTATAACTTTCATGGCGATAACCGAAATATGTGTGTTCGCGTGTAATTTTCAAGCCTTGCGTATTTCAATGATAAAACGTATAACTATTGGTAGATAAATGATAAAATTATTTACTCAGTGAAAAATGTACATCTAGTCGATGTCAAATTGACATCGAAATGTCGATTTAATGAGTCATTTCTCGCAAGATATATATTATAATATTATTAAGTAATATCATATAGAGTTAATTGTCACAATTATGTTGATTTTTCATATCACATTTCATACCTGATCAAATTTATTTTTCAAATAATTTTTCTTCCATGGTTTTGTTTCTTTATAAAAGTTTTTTTATAGATTAATTTCGGGAAGTTTTGTATTATTTATTTTGAAATGTGTACGTTGTAAAATTATGATTTCTTTTCCATTGTTAAATATCAATTTTTATTTGAACTCGTTTTCTTCAACATAATTCCTTGATTAGTCATTGCCAAAGATCGGACCTCCTCTCTCTCTCTCCCTCTCTCTCTCTCTTGAATTTTGTATAGTTCAATATTATTTTCGTATCTAGTGACTCCATAAACTCCATAATTCCATTAAAATTTGATAATATTTTATTTTTTGCATCCGCCATATTGGGTCCTCCATTTTGAACTTGTATATTTCGATATTATTTCCGTATTTAACGAACCCAAAAACTGTAAAAATAATAATAGACAAGATATGTTCTAATTCCCAAAAAAGAAGTCAAACACGAAAGAGTTAATCTGAAACAATTGTGCCCATAGTGTGTTTAAATAATAATTATTTCAAATAATTATGTTATTAAATTGATCCGTTTCTTTTCTTTATTTATACTTTTTTATTTCTCTGAATTAAAATTCGAAGACAAATTCGGTTCTGAATCCGGATCTTTTCTTATGATCTGAACTTGAATCCGAATAATTTGGGATCGACTTCGTATATCCGAATGGTTAGAAACTATTCGTAAAATTGGGAGCCCTACATTACATTCTTCGGGGAAACTTACACACAAAAAAAGGAACGTTTTCTTACCATTTCTCGACGTTACGATGATATCCAATGATATTCGAAAAAATACGCGTGAACTTAACAATGAAAAGGAACTTGCGTGTCGCCGCCTAGTCGATCGTTCTTCTTCTTCTTTATTCCCACACTCGCCCGATAAAGAAGAAAACCAAGGAATGCACACGTCACCATATATTCATCGTGTTCTCATTGTCACCAGCTAAATATTATTTGCACAAGACACAATGTCATTTTTAGTAAGGTTTAAAAAGCGAATCAATCAGTCGTTACTTTCTCGAACCTGCTAACGTACAGGGAACCGTTCGCGCGTTCACTGCAAACAAATTCGCGAAGCTTATTGAATATGCGTGTAGGAAGGAGATATCGCACATACATGTGCAAGTATTAAAGTAGCAAATGGCAATGAATAGACAAGAATTTTTCGCGAGTCGACGAAACTTGATAAAATCCCGATGAAAGTCCGGTAAAAACGAGCGACAATTTTTTCGTAATCTCTCGGTGTCGACGAGATAATATTTGGATATACTCAGACATCACACAAATATCTAAAAGATATCTTAGAGCAGTCATAGTCGGATTTAAGATCATCTTAAATTCACCTTGAAATGCTGCACGGATAGTTTCATTGACTACGAATCATCTTAAGATGAACTTAAAAGATATTTAAAAGATATTTAAAGGACATCCGACCTATTTCAGACTTCTCGAAGATGTCTCTGAGACATATTTAAGGCCCGTATTGATAGTTGCCGATTGAAACTTCTCTCGAGTGGGATACACAAATTTAAAATCGGAGTTAGATCCGAGTTATCCAGTTTTCAATCGCGATTACAAATATAACGTCAGGCGTATGATATCATTCAATTAAAAAAACTGACATCCAACTTTGAATTTAAATCCGAGTGTCTCATTAAAAACAAGTTTCAAGCAGCAACTATTAATATGGGCCTTGGACATTTGTGCTGTATGAGTATCATCGATCGACATTCGTTACGGGTTACTTGACATGGCTCGACTTGAAGCTTACCGGCTTTCCTCTCTAATGGAGACGCGTTATGGCCGTCCGCGATATACTTTCCGCGAGCGAAATTCGCGCGCGCGTCCGTTACCTATCGGCGACAACGGAGAACGCAACTGAAGATATCCGAGCGCTAAAACGGATAAGAAAATCTTTATCAAGCAATCTGCGCACCCACCCCTGTCGTCCATCAGTGATTAGGGATACGAACCGTCGCTTATCACGGACGGCAGATAACGTCGACGAGTTCGGAAATGACAACTCTTCCGTACTTCGTCACACGTGCGTCGGGCCTATCTATTGCAAATTGAAGATTCCCAATGCCGAGTCCGAATATTCGACTTATTAGGCTTTCTTCGTTTTTGAAATTACAACCGTTTCTCCAGGGTCTCGCGTACAATTAGTCGGCAATAGACAAAGTAGGACAACGCAAGGTAAGAAAACTTGCTCGGCGTAGGAGATAATCGAAATGTTATTTTTTTACTACGTTTTTTTTATTAATCATTTTATTAATCATACTCTTAAGGTATTGTAAATAATTTCGCCTGAATTATTCTTAATTATATTTAATTGATATAATTTATTAATTATAATATGTAATATTATATATTAATATTAATTTACATCGTATTTGTAAAGCACGCTTATCTCGATGGGACTCAATACTCAAAATTTCTGGCTCTTGAATCTGCCAGCCATGTTAAATACGACACATGGTTGAATGCATACACGATATGTGTATATACGAAGTATATATATGTATATATATAGAAACATGCTTAAAGAAGCTAATAAAGAATTTAGCATCTGTTATCTTTCGTAATATAAGAAACTTGAAAAGAATTAACGAAGAAGAAACAATTTGAGAAACAATACAATTAATATATGTTGCAGAAATTAATATAAATTAATATAAATTAAGTATATATAGAAAAATTAATATAATTTAAATATAGGTTGTAGACATTGTATTATTTTCATAAAAAAATAAAACTCGTTTAAACCTGACGTCGAATATTATTTTTAATTATTTTAATATTGTAAGAGATAGGGTTAGCTGTTTGCAACTGCAATTTCCAATATTGTGAGATCTGCGATTTTATTTGCTTCAATTAATTACACTCGCATATCGCTCATGCAATACATTACAAATTTAAAATTGCGAGGATCTCTTATTATTCATTATCAAGAAGTATTCGCAATGTGTTCCCGACATTGTTGAACATTCCAGTGAAATTTATAAAGGAGGCGACACTAATCTGGAAGCCACATTAAGGATAAGACAATTTTTATTGA